GAAAAATAATATATTTGATTATAAAGAAAAATAATTGATTATATTTGTATAATCGTTTATTTTTTTACAATTAATTATATTTACAAATCAAAAAATTTTATTTTTTTAATTGTATTATGCCTCAACTTACAAATCAAAAAAAATTATTTTTTTAAGTCTAGCTCAATCATTTTCTGTTGACTTCTCTAAATTCGTTTTTCAAAAAAAGGCCTCAACCAAATAAATCCTAAAAATAAAATTTAGGGTAAACCCCCATTTTGCTCCCTCAACTATTGTATGGTCCCCAATTTAGTCTTTCAACTCAAAAAATCTCCAATTTGATCCCTACTATTTACCATTTTAGCCTCAATTTGGTCCTTCCATTAACTATCCACTTAAGTGTGCTATTACTTGAAAAAAGATGGCATGTAAAAATATTTTGACATGTAAGATTGACAACATGACAAATAAGCTTTGACACGTAATTTTTAGTTAAAAATTAAAATATTTCAAAGTAATTATAAAATTAAAATCACTTTTTTACCCTCTTCTTCAACCACACATTAGTTTCTTTCCTTTCTCCTTTCGTTACCCCTCCCTTTTCATCTATAGCCTCTTTGGTTGTTCATTTTCTTCCCCTAGCAACTTCATTTTCTCTTTACCTTCCCCAACACCAAATCTGGGTTTGATTAAACCCAGTGGCTGTTCATCTTTTCCCCCCAGCAAGCTTCATTTTCTCTCTCCCTTCCTCAACACTAGATCTGGGTTTGATGGAACCCAGTGGGCACTATTGGGTTCAATGGAACTCGGGTTGGAACCCAGCAGGTGTTGCTAGGTTTGACCCAGCAAGCACTGTTGGCTTCAAACGTTAGGTTCAAACAAACCCAACAGCGGCTACTGTAATCGAACCCAACAGCGCCTACTGGGTTTGAAAGAACCCAAGCAGAAATTAAAAATGATTTTGATTTTTTGTTTTTTTGTTCATGGGTTTTGTTGTTTGATGAAAAAGAAGAATTAATTGATGAAGATGAATTTTTTTTTTTTTTTTTGAGAAAAAATGAAGAAGAAGATGAAGAAGGCAAGACAAGAAAGAGGAAAGAGAAAGGGAGACAAGATGAAAAATATAGAATTTTTTAAGTTTTTATTGTCAAATCATAATTTTTTACGCAATGATGTCTTCACACGTGAATGTAATATTTTGACATATCATCACATTCTGTTAGTTAATGGAACACGTAGGTAGAATTTTAATGAAAGGATCAAATTGGTTAAAATGGTAAATAATAAGGACCAAATCAAGGATTTTTCAAGTTAAGAGACTAAATCAAGGGTCCGTATAATAATTGAGGGACCAAAATGGAGGTTTAACCTTTCTGAAAAAGGGTGACATCAAAATTTAGCTGGTTTTAATCCTAATATAATTAAGGATCACTGACAAGCAGTAGCAGTTTACAGACGGGACATGTCCA